TGGTTGCTGTTAGCATTTTTGCCACTTTGGGCTAGTCCTAAATGCTTTTATCTCTCAGAAGATGCGAATGCGTAAGGAATTTGACACTGGAACTTATTTACTGAGGCAAAAAACTGAGGTAAAACCTGTGCAAAGAGATGTTGTGTTGTAATCGGAGCTTTATTCGCACTCCAAATTTTTAGCACTTCGTTGCGCATCAATTCTGGCTCTGCAATCAACATGCGCAAAAATTTTTTTAGGAAGTTATCGGCAGCCGCCGGCAGACGATGTCGGAAAAACGCAATCGCTCGACTCATTTTCGGGTTTCACCTTTCCGTGGCAATGAAATATGAAGTTCTAGATCGTTTGTGCCTTAGAAATTATTAAAATGCAGTAAACACAGTATGCTTGGTTCATTGCGATAACTGTTTTCTCGCCTACCATAATTTCAGCCAAAACAATTTAAAATAGTTTTAGTTATAAACCTCTAAGATTCAGAGTAATAGCTCGTTGCAAAAGTGGAGTAGTAAAGTAGAAGATAAGGATTCTGTCTATGTACCATGCGCAAAAAGATATGTTTTGATACAGTCTAAGTTTCGTTCTTTACTTGCAAACACGGGCCGATTGCAATGTATGGACAGAAATGGGAATCGTCAGTACAGCCTCCTAACCATCATTTGTATGATGAGCACACGTCAAATTGCACAAGATTAAACACGAGAGAGGACAGGCGAGAAGAGAAAAAATATGCGAAAATAGAGGAAAGGAAGGACGGGGACTAATTTTTAAGCGAGTAACGATATTACAAGGTTTCGGATTTCGTTGTTTTCAGTGAAAATATATTTACTAAGATTGCCCTTGAGGTGGTGTTTCGAAATGAGTTAATCACAGTAGTGTCTTCGAGATTTACAAAACACTTTCTTTGGTTTAGATGAACTGGATGGCTGATAGGAAGCACGGATGAACAGATGCTGGATAAAAATTCGCAATGATTCATAAAAAGTGGCATGCTGTTCCCGTTCAGAAATATTTTAGCCCCAGAATAAAAGTTATTTAAAAATCTGTTTCTTACTGTGCGAATTTCGGTGAGTGATCGAAATGATCACTTGCTTTGGCTCGGTACATCGTAGCGTTCCCACTGTGCACGCCGCTACCGTGAAACTATCGATACCCACTCTTCCAGTCGGATTGTTCACATAAAAAAC